AAGTTATACAAAGCTTAATGAAAACCATGCCTGCGCTGCAATCCAACCATCAGTCAATCCCCCAAGCAGGAGGCCAAGCAGCCCTCCTTATGCTACGAGCATTTTGTCTGCGTATCAAGTTGAGGGAGATTCTGCTCCTCATCTCCCAGCTCTGTGGGAGTGGGACCTTCCTGTTCTCACACACATGGCTCTGGCGACGGCATTGCCAGATTCAGGMAGGATATTTTCAGAGAAATACTGCTCGGCGGCTCCAGGCCGTACACAGCACAGCTTCTTTTCTCCCTGTATTACAAAGAGAGCCTGGGTTTAATCCTCATGAGGTGAGAACTCAGCAGGAAGAAACGGAAACGTCAGAGTGAGGTTGTACCATCAGGGCAACACCATTACTCTTCACAGCGTTGTCTATATTGGCAAATCTTCTCCAAATATCCTAGAATCATCTGCCTTTGTTTCTATTAAGTAAGGCTGATTTACAACAAAGCCTTCCAAGAGCAGTGTACCTATTGTATATAGGAGCTGGAAGAGAGAAGGGAAGTAGAAATGGGAGCAGAGGGTCCATCCACTATCATGAGCAACTTGAGAGTCTCTCTAAAATCCTACTTAGCAGCATCCATCAAAAGCTACAAGCTTTCAGGAAGCCAGCTGCATCTGAACAGGGATGAGGGCTACYGCGGTGGTGTGAGGACTTGGCAATTCCTGAGCTTTGCTCAGATCTCCAGACAAGTCACYGTGACACCAGTGTGTCACCCTGGGATTCTGTATGGCTTAGACACAACTGTGCACTGCCACAGCTAGAGCATTCATCATTAGTGAGTATGACATCTTCTCTGTGCCTGAAAAGTAAGTACTGGCAAATGAGAGAGATTCCCCAGCATATGTAATTTGTTAATCTATTTTTTGTAATTCTTCTACTATCTGACTCGCATAGCAAATGCTATACATCTGAAAAATACGGAAGGGGACAAGCCTATGTTTGGTACAAAACATTTCCATCTGTAACTCTACTGAAATATTTTTTTCTTGTATATCCAATTGATTTTTCTGTTTCAGAAGTATAAAGCACAGACTATTTTTTGAAGCTCTCTAAAGCATTGTCTCTTTTTGTTTTTCCAAGCTTTTATGATCAACAATGCAATGTGATTAGCCAAAGTTCTTGGGGGCAACTGAAACGTGGATAATAAAAATCAGGAATGCCAACTCTTCTTTGGTTCTTCCAAACAGCCCACAGAACCAGCACTTTTGTCTGTGGAGCACTAAATGTCCTCTCAAAAGCCAAGCTCTGTGGTAAGACTAAATTACTCAAAACAAACTAATGTCCCTAACAGTTGCTTGTGAGAGTCCTGTTCACACTATGAAGACTATGACATTCCAAGCTAGGCAGCTTTCAGATTAACTTTAGTTTCACTCTCTATATATYATAGGGTAACACACTGGTAATCTAAATATTGAGCAAGCTTTTTTAGAGAAGTTTTAAAAATAGAGAATAAAGTGCATTTTTTCCTGAAGAAGGAATAGAAAAACTGAAGCAGGAACAAAACTCAGCTGGTATGCAACAGAAACCTTTTTGCTTTGCTTGCATGATTCTTGGTTGAAATTGTTACAGATTCAGAAAGAGCTGGCACATGTAGAGAAAACATTACATCTCAGGAACAGGTAAGGTCTTTCCCAAATTTCATATTAGACCTTTTTTTTTTTTTTTTTTTTTTTTTAAGACAGGCTATAACAATGGGAAAGACTTATGGCAATCATGTTTGTTGAACTTTTCCTGTTATTTTTCTGCAAGAAGAAAAATGCCTTAGCATCTGATAACTGGTTTCTCTACTGTTTAGAGCTTAGATTAGAACTTGTGACATGGTGAGAGTGAGATCAACTCAGATCAATTCATCTTCTCTCAAAGTAATTATCAGCACAAGTTTTCTATTTAGAGGAAGTCAAAAACAGGGTCACGCACTTCTATCTGTTTWGATGAAGTTCAAACATTACTATGTTGTCTGTAAGGTTAACAGTGCAGGCTATGGCCTGCTAACACTAAGGATATATCACATAGAATAAAATCAATACCTACTGCCAAGGATGCCTTATACACAGTTCAAGAGTTGCAGCTGAGAGTAGGTTATGCTGATCCGGTGATCCAACCCACACATACTGTAAGCTGTCCCAAGGAGCTGTCCTTTTTTTGGAACTTGCTCAGATTGGAGGGGCTGAGGCACAACTGTGATGAGCAGTTGTTCAGTCTAAACAACTGGACAGCCTAAATCAAACCAATGGGCAGTAAGTGGGCAGTCTGGAGAGTCACTCCAAAGGTACAATAAAGCACCCAACCTAAATACTTATGCAGAATCAGCCTGAATTGTAAAAAGACATTTGTAAACTGTATAAAGCACACCACAAAACCTGAAGGACATCAGAGTAGCATTATAAAAAGGTGCTTATTTTGCCTAAGAAAGAAGTAGTGCCTTCTGGATGCAGAAGTCGCAAAGAACAGCTCACTYTATGAACACATAAATGATGGTTAGTGAATAAAAAGATGTGTACAATATATGCAGTTTAAGTAAAGCCATTCTATTTCAAGAGGAATAATCAGTTTTGTTAGTAAGATATCACTATTTGTGACTGCTATTGCAAAGAGACCCTACTTCACTTTCATAATACTGTCAAATATAACTTGCAATAGACTTAGATTTTTATTTCAGATAAACAAGAATCTCTGGGATCAGAGTTCCASAGATTCCAAACTCTCTGGAATCTTTTTATATGGCAGAGAACAAGCAGATTTTTGTTTTCAGACAGATTCTTGATGAAAGTGATACGGGTTTTGTTTCTGGAAAGACTCATGATCTACTCAAAAAAAGTTTTTGAGAGGGGCATAACATTTTAGATTTTGAATATATTAAAAAAAAGCACAAATGGTATATGTACTCGGTATATGTACATTTAACTGTGTAATCCATTACACAATAATCAGTTCTAATCTAATAATATTGATGTGAAATTGCTAGTGAGACTGAAATACAATATTGTAGCAATAAAAAAGAAACTATGCTATTTTTACAGTAGCGTAAACATGGAGAGAAATACTATGAACAAGATGTCACAAATTCCTTTAGATATCTTGCTGCATGATACAAATTGTTATTGACCACGTAAGTGTGGTCGAGATGCCCCTTCTGACTGTGCGAGACCAATGCTCTGAGCAGTCCACCTTTTTCTTTGGTGACAGCACCTACAGCCTCTGTGGGCACTGCAGCAGCCTTCCTGGCTTCAGTCGGGCAGCRGAAGATCCTCTGACCTTCTAAATGCCAGATGTATTCTCATTTAGGGCCACATGTATTTTCATTTAGGGCCATGTCTTAATTTGTAGCTAAGAACCAAGAGTCATGGAGAACAGTTCCCAACTTTGAGAATGCCTAACTAAGTGCATTTGCTGACTGCAAAAAACAGACCAAAAGTAACTCGTGAGAAGAAGAAAACACTTCAGAAGCAGTGAGAATAGTTTTAACAGCAGTCAGCCCCGACCCAATGTATTTCTGGAATTTAGATTTAGACTTGGCTATGACTAGATGCACTTTTTTTTCCAACTTTTAGACTGGAATATGGCAATACTATAAAGCAGTGAAAGCATTAACCTTGGAATTTTTGTCTGATTTCTAAAACAGCAGTGTTGCAACCCCGGGGCGAACTACTCTTTTGTTAGGTTYTTTGTCTCTGTGGCTGCTATTTCACGTGCACCAGCTCTCACCTCTTTCTGCCTCCATTCGCATGAGTGCCAGCATCTGTCTGAGGAACTCTGATAATTCAAGAACTGATTCTGATTTTTCCATTGAAACAACCAGACAGTGCCTATTTGTTCAAACCACAGATCTTCACTTCTGATAAAACTTTCATTGGCAAAGTTTTCTCTGCTTTAAAAGGGTGTTTCTTATCAAATCAGGTGAGAGATCCTATCTCCATGGAAACAAGTTTCCAAAAGCATAGGAAGATGGTTGTTTTGTGACTTGATTTAGGAATTTTGAACCACAGTGCCYCAGATCTTCTGTGTAAACTAACTGCCAGGCTTCTTTTTGATGTGTGCTTCCTGCACTTCGCTCAGAGCCCCTAAACTTCTCCTATCATTATTGATACCATTTCCTCTTCCATAGCTGTGGCTTCCCATCCTACCTTTCCTGGCTCAATGAAACTGTCAGTTTCAAAATGAGGAAGACAAGCCTTTTTTTTCCTCTTAYTTTTTTTAACTTGCTCATGGCTGCACAGYTCGATGCCAGAAGAGATTAGAATAACAAAGCTCACACTCTTCAAATCAAACCATAGAATTCACCTTGACCTARTTAGTCTTCCTCAATAGCAACTGACTGAACTGAGCAGAAAAAAAAAATCTAAAGCATTAGAAGGCTTTTAGGATTCAAAATGTTCAGGTACCACAATAAAATGCATGGTAAAAGTCCTACAGTAATTACTCTGAAATACTTAGTCAATGTGTGGAGAAAATGCCTGTGAAAAGCATACTTGCATATATAAATCACACTTTTGGTAAGTGGATAATAGCATTTACTKTGGGAAACATATATGGAATCAAATGTACGGGTAAGCTTTGGGATGAATGTATGAATAAAACGCACATAGATTACAGTTTATTTACAAGTATTTAAATTTAAAAAAAATCAAAGTAAAAAAGGGAATAAAGAAGTAATGTACTTTTTGATATTTCTTATTTCCACATATCATCAGGCAAAAACTTCAAAACTTTTAACATCAGATGAATTTAGCCAAGAATAATAATCGTTACATGAAAGGTTAAAATATGAATGATATGGGTTCTTAAAATAGAGTTTGGGGTTTTGAGTCAGCAGAATCAGATAGATTCTTATGTAATAAATCAATCTGCTCTGCTCATTTTTAATAAAAATTCTCATCTGTCATTTGGAAATTTTTATTGAAGACAGTAGGAAAAAAATACAGGAGAATGAGCTGTGGCTATGTTAAAAATACTTACGTTTCTATATTAGATTGTTTCTACAATCTAATTATTGACTCATGCACAGCTATAATGGGGAAAAATAAAGAGCTAAGTTGCTATTTCATACCCATGTTGCTGCTAGAAAAGAGTTCCGGTCCCCCTTTGGCATCACACACAGGGCAGGAGGGGATGGACACAGAAAAGTAATGTACCTGCTCAAGGGCTCTAGTGCTGGCCTGCTCTGCCCGGGGGCACAAAGAAACTGGTCCTGGTGGGTGACATTCCTGAATCAGTTTGTTCCTGCCTTCCTCTTGGAACAGCAGAGTTACGAACAGCATCTTATGAATTCATGTTTCAATGGTCTTAAATTTGTTTACAATATACATGTAGCAGGAAAAAAAAAGTTTTATAAAGTGAAAGAAAAAGTCCTAAATAGATCCTCAGAAGTTCATGCAGGATTCCAATACTCCTAGGAAGAAAAGAAAATACAGGTAAGGAAAAGAAGATACAGGGAATGTAATGATTCTTACTGGCATTCATTTGACTTCATGGTCAGTTACACTTCTACTTYAGGGTTCACTAAAGTATAATAAAGTCACTAAAGTGTGCAATGTTCCAAGAAAAGCTAATCAATAAATAAAGGTAAATGAAAACAACTGATGAGCRTTTTCACTCTTCACCTTTTAACCAAAAGTCACATATTAACTCTACCTTTTAGACTGAAAAATATTGTAGGGAAAAAAAAAAGAGAATGTGCATGTGTTAAATCAGGTGCTGGAGGCAGGCTATATAGTACAGACTTATTGATGTTGGCAAACAGCTTAATTAAACGTTTTATGTAAGSGCTGCTGAGTACAAAGCACTTTCCTTAAGAGCATGTTAAATGGTACACATTAAAAAAACAGTTAAACTTCCTAGAATGTATTCAATATCTTCCTGGTAAAAGAAGAAGAAAAAAACACATTTACTAGCAACTATTGGCATCTGTGGTTGTATTAAAAAATAGGTACAGGAATTGTCAAGCAATATGTTGACATTCATGCGAGATCGACATATGATAAACAGGAACAGGATACAGACCATTAGTTCTGACCATAGTGTTTGCCCAGTGAACGAAAATACATGTGGGAAGACTGCGTCTGCTAGATTTTGTTTTCCTTGTTTTGTACAAATATAGCTTCTTTTGGAGGAGCAGGCTTGCTGCCAAAGCAGACCCTCATGCTTTCTTCCTTCTCATAGCAAATATTTTGTAGCYGGAGAGTCAGGAAACAAATCTTTCCTGGGTTCCCAGACAAACTAGATGTGTTAGGGCTCTTCAATCCTCTGGTTGCTGACTGCAGGATGCTCTTCTCAGGCAGGATCAGCTAGAAGATGGAGAGAGAGGAAGTGTATGTGTACAAGCACGTCARTCTGAGCAAACTTGAAGCTCTAGGGCTTAACTTTGAAATCTAATTCTCCAGAGAGCTAGCCTGCTGATGTCAGATGTCAGCCTGCTGTCCATCTTTGCCAGGCATATCCACATGAATCAAGTTCTGGCCTACAGTTTGCCCAACTGTTCGTATTTTATTGGAATAAAAAGAAAAGCTTAAAACTTTATGGAATGAATTAGAAAACTTTTTAGAAATCCAGAAGGCAACACAGAAAAGTATAGAACTTTTATACATCTTAAATACAGCCTGTACCTTTTTCCCCTATGTTACTAAAATCACAAATACACTGTGTTCCCATAGTCCTTCCATTACAAGCAGTAGTAGGATGCTTGCAAGTTTTTGGAGGTTTTAGTAATGATAAATTAGTATATATTTCTACATGCTTGAGAGGGGAAATAAAGGAAGCTGTCAGTGCAAACACTCTTTGATAAAAGAGAGATTGAGGAAAAGATACTTTGGACCTTGCTTACGTTTGCTGCATTATGCATATAAGTGGAGTTTATTGGAGGTGAAAAGAATTGGCTACTGCCATAAAGAATTCTGTGCTTGTGAAGAGACTATAAGGCTTGATAAATTTGCTTGTCAGTGTATGTATAAAGTGATGAACCATGAGTATGTCAAAACGTCCAATATAGTAACCCGTATAGAGAAGATGGAAAATTAAGGAATAATTGCTCTATCATGAACTGCAGGAGAGCATTTCTTGCTCTACCTTTCATATTATTAACAACAAAACTCAAAATACTAACTCAAATGTTCCCTCTGACCATCTGAGAGCATAATAATATCTGACAGGTTCATGTGAGGTGACAAATGGTTTTGATCGTAGTGGACACAATTCCCTTACATTAATTATTTACCAATTTTCTTTGTAACTAGTAGGAAACACTTTACATGTGATGCAACTAACGAAAAGTGAAAAATATTGCCCTTGCTGAAAGAATAAATGGGTTTTTCTCAGTGTTAAAGGTTTATACTAGAAGCATCTCCGCTGAAGTCAAAGACAAATATGTTCTTGCCACAAGCAAGACAAGTCAGATGTKTTGGCACATGATCTAATACAGCTCTGTGCACCAATATATAGTGTGCAATAAAAAGATTATAATTAGCTCTGCATTATGATCTATTCCATCTCAGTACCAATAGCAATTACAGTAGTTAAAACTGTTAAGATTTTAGATGAATTCTTGTAACTGAAATATTGTTTGTGAGCTCTCTAGGATAATGTGAAAAAGTTGTCTTCAAATATATGCTATCCTTCTTTAGACATCACATCTGAGTATTAGATACTGTTTAGTTTCCAATCATACATTTTTACTTCATTTAAAGAAGAAAAACATAAAACTCCAGAGATCCGTGCCTTAGCCACTTCCATTCAAGTTTTGTGTTTCATTTAGCCAGTTTCCAGTATCATTTCATGTTGGGTGTTTATTGCCTCTTGTAATTTTTTTTTTTCAGATAGGTTTGCCAGCATAGAGGAAAGTGGCCAGAAAGGCTGACAAGAACTGCAGTTCTTGTCACTAACAGTGAGTGGATGCTGCAACATGCATCTTCCCAGGTGCAGAACAGCAGACAAATGCCAGAGTAACTCACTGATCAGCACCACTGCTATCCCCAGGCCTGACTTACCTATCACTGCCTAAGCAGTTTTTAAGTATTGCATGCCTATGCTAAGAGAGCTATACACATKCTATCCCTTTTCCCACTTCTGCACATTTTTTACATCTTGAGAAGTTAAAGGAAGAAGAAAATGCTTTCTTTCTTTACAAACAAAGTGTTTTTTCCCCAGCTGAAYGAAAGCTGGACATATCCACGCAATTTTAGAATGCTGTCTCTTTATCAGAATCTTGCTCCCCCATCCCAAACTACTATCAGCAGAAGCACTGCAAGAGGTCATTCCTCTCTGGTCATCCAGGGGATGTCATCCCACTCTGGTGGATTCCAAGACACCTGCCTGACATAGTTTAAGGTTTTGATACCTTGCATCAACAAATTTCATCCATAGTTTCTCATATACTCTATCTGGTTTGGTGACAAGAGTATTCTAGCAAAATATATTCACATGATGCTTCTTGAGCTCCTACCTTACTGTTTGGAGAGCTCTTAAACAACAACAAAAGTAATATATTGGCTTTCAGAGGCAAAGGCTAAATGCTTGTCACTCGTGACAGCCATGCAATCAGCTGGAAGGGATTCCCTTAAACACAGGTGGTGTGCAGTAGGTATGTCACTTGGTGGGGATGCTAAGGGAGGAAGAGATTACCACAGCGCAGAAACATTTGCTGCCAGGGTTTGAAGAGCTAGCATGACCTGGCAYAACACAGAATGACTACTGACAGCTAGTGAGCAAAATTAAACTACTACTGCTACTCCAAGAACTCCTACATAATCGCTTACAGCTGATTACATATACAAGAAGAGAACATACTTCACAGTCATGTGATCCTGAATTAGTATTTAAATTATGCCAACACTCAAAATATATTTGAGATAGCTGTTCAGCATGCAAGCAATACCTTATCCTACTGATAGGCCCAAACCACAGAACATAGCTGTTGAAATAGATGCTCTGATCATCTAAAGAAATTTGCAAAAGAAAAATCACAAAGTTTTCCAGGGCAACATCTGATTAAAATGATGAAATTAAGTGCACCTGATCAAACATTTCCCTACAGTGAAAAAAACAGATAGCGACTACCTTTGAGATGAAAACAGGTTAGCCTACATTCAGCTCTGTACGAGGGTTTGATAACCCTCACTGTAAAAATGGTAAAGAGCATGCACTGCAATCAGTTCTCGTTTGCTTGGATTTTCAGTGTCATTGTGCATATCCTCAGCAAACCAAGGTGGTGGTGGTGGTGGTGGGGATTCTGCATAGCTCCACAGTCAACTGATTCAACCTCTGCTTACCAGCAAGAAGCTGTTATTTTCCTTATTTATAGGACTTAGTCCCCATTTATATCAATTAAATTAGAAAATCTCAATTCAGCTAGAAAGGGTGTATTAGTATTGTTGTACTTCATTGGCATTCACAAGCACTACACTTGCATCTCTTGCTTCGTGCTGTCTTTAGCTTAACAATATTGTTTTTGTAATTATTTCGCTCTGTATTCTGAGGTGCTGCATTAACTGATTATCTAACATCTGATCTAATTTCGAGTATATCTTTTAATGCCAACGCACTTGCGGATAACATGCACCTCCCTTTAAACCATGATCTGATTACTGGGAATACCGGTACAGACCTTGACCCTACACGAGCTAATGTAGCTCTTAATTGGCGTCCTTGGGCTCGCTGCCAACACCTCCCAGGGCAGCAGCGCAGATGCGCTGGGGTTACACGTGTCAAACCCCTAAGCGCGAACCGGAGATCCCATAAGTGAACTCGATTTAACTGCGTTCAGCGCCGGGATTTCAGCAGGCACCGGGGAGCACCGGGCCCGTTACCTCAGCGCGGGGCCGGCCCGGAGCGCGCCTCGAAGCGAGGCGGAGCAGGGCGCACGGCGGAGCACGGCCCGCCCGTTAACGGCCGCCGCAGCCCGTTAACGGCCACCGCGCGCTGCTCGCCGCCGTCTCCCTAGCGACCGGGCCGGAAGCGAGCCCCGCCCTCCGCCGGGGACGCGCGGGAGGTGCCGGGGCCGACGTGCGGCGCGCGCGCCCGTGACGCCCGTTGCCGTAGCGACCGGCGGGCGCGCCAACGGCCGCAGCCGCTCCAGCCGCCGCGGCCGGGCCTCCCGCCGCGCTCGGCCGCTGCCCATGGCGGCCGAGGAGGAGGGCGACGTGGACTGGGTGGTGGACAGCATCGCCGGCTTCCTGCGGGGGCCCGCCTGGTCCATCCCCATCCTGGAGTTCATGGAGCAGAAGTGCGAGGGTGAGCGGCAGGCGGGAAGCGGCGGGAACCGAGGCCTCTCCATCCCGCCGCGCTGCAGCGGCCGCGGAGGCGCGCGGGGGGCCCCGCATCCCGCCCCGCTCCGCCAGCGCCGCCGCGCATGCGCAGCGAGGGCGGCGGCCTCGCGCGGCCGTGGGGGGCGGCCGGGCCGCCCTGCGGGGTCTGTTTAAAACTGATCTACCGTTAAACGGTCTTCGAGTTCTACGCAGCTGTAATTGCAGCGTTCATGCGGTTTTTTTTTTTTTTTTTTTATAGCGATTCTCTCTCTTTTTTTTTTTTTAATATGTCCCCGCCCATAACTTGCTGAAATACATTTGCTTCCATTGCTTACGAGGTGATGTTAAGGATGCAGTAATTTACATTCATAGTTCATGCGCTCAGACGAGTGACTTTGGCCCGAACATGCACTATGATCCTCTTATGCCAAGTGAATTATTCGTTCTGCTTCATTTCATAACATAATGTGTCTAGAAACCATTTGGAGACCATCAGTACTTTTCCGTAGCTATTTTCAAGGATCTTTTTCTTAACAAAACAAGGTTATGCTATTAAAATTGCTATTTGACCAGTGTGTTAGGACTGTAGATGTCCCAAAATTGAATTCCTGCAGTTTTATGAAAACTGTTAGGCAGAGATGAGAGTCCTTATTTATCTCACAAATGGTAGTCTCCAGTGAGAAGCCAGTGGTTATTGCTTATGTCTTGTAGTCCAACTGGTCTGTGCGTGAGCTTAGCTCAGAAACATTTCTCCTTGCATTATCTTCCCCGCGTAGCAGCACGATAAAGAACCGGACAATCATGGAATAAGTTGGGGGAGCACCCAGCTTTAACTGGAAGAATGAGTAGTGTGAGGAAGGACTAGGAGAGATCTGCAGATCTATATGCAGGCCTGTGTAGGTCTACACGCATGGACAGGAGAAGAGGAAATAGACTCCACAAGCTCTCTAGACAGTCTGTTCCAGTGCTCAGTCACCCTCAGTCAAGAAGTTTTCCCTTATATTCAGATGGAACTTCCTGTATTTCAGTTTGTACATATTGTCTCTTGTCCTRTGTCTCTGAGCACCAATAAAAACCTGGCCCCATTCTCTTGGCACCCTCCCTTAAGGTATTTGYATGCATTCATAATATATCTGTCTTTTCCAGGTTAAACAGGCCCAGCTCTCAGCCTCTTCTCCTAGGAGAGATGCTCCAGTCCTCTAATCATCTTTGTAGCACTATGCTGSCCTCCCTCCAGTACTTCCAYGTMCCTCTTGTATTAGGGAGCCCAGAACTGGACACAGTCCAGAAGGCCATATCCTGATAGCTTTTGAGTATCTTCAAGGATGYATATTATACAACCTTTGTAGGAAACTTGTTCCAGTGCTCAGTCACCCTCMTGGTGAAGTAGTTTTTCCTTATGTTTAGATGGAACTTTCTGTTTTTCAATTTTTTAGTCATCGCTTCTCATACTACCAGTGGACACTACTACGAAGACTGTGTCACCATCCTCTCAGACCCTCCCTTCACATATAGAATCATAGAATCATAGAATCATATGTGTATGCATTGATAAGATTCCCCCATCGGTCTCCTCCAGGCTGAGCAGTCCCAGCTCTCTCAATCTTTCCTCATATGAGAAATGCTCTAGTCCCTTAATCATCTTAGTGGCTGTTTGTTGGACTCGCTCCAGAGCGTCCGTGTCTCTCTTGTACTGGTAAGCTCGGCATTGGTCACAACAACCAACCAGGAGCYCCAGGTCCTTTTCTGCAAAACTGCTCTCCAGCAGGTCAGCCCCCAAGCCTGTACTAGTCCGTGGCGTTGTTCAAGTCAGTATGGATACGTAGCGCTGGCTGTGACTGTCTTAGCTCCTAGGACAGAGAACTTCCKCAGTGGTCCCTTTAGAGAGAAGAGTAAGTAGAAGAGTTAATGCCAGTTTGCTGATCAGCTGTTGTCCATGAGTTAAGATAGTCAGTGGCTCAGTTTAGTAATGCAGACTTGATTTAACTCTCACCCTGTGYGAGAATTCTCCTAGCGAAGATGGTCATTTTCAACAGGAAAATAATTCATTTGTAGTCTGGCATACTTGGATCCCCCAGATTACCTCACTTTAGTGTTCTTCCTGATCTTAGACCCTTGTTGGGTGACAAAAGACTGTACCAAAACATTAAGGAAAGAATGACTGCAGGGTTAAGAAATCCTGAACTCTGAAGAATCCAARGTCCCCATTCAAACAGTATTTCTTAATGGCCCTTAAGTCCCAGAAGGTGTTGACTGGAACTCTCTTTATCTGKCACTTACTTTCATGCTCTTGGCTCAAATACTGAAAACTGAGAGCAGCTGGTACAAGCTTTCCAATTTGCTTTCCATGTTCTGTGACTATGGAAAGAACATGAGGACTTTAGGGGTGGCCTGGCCACCAYGCCAGACCGGCTCTTAGCTGGGAAGTGACTGAGGAGTGCCAGCCTTTAACAGCACTTCCCTTAGTGCTCAGGAAGGAAGGAAAGGGAGCAGAGAAACAAAGCCAAGAAGGTTAGGGCCTGCCAGAGCTCTAGTAGAGATTCCCTGAAGAGCAAGAGATGAAAAGACAACAGAGGCAGTTAAGTATCTTCATCCTCTTGGCTCTGTCAGATGTAGTTGCTCCAGAAGCTGAATTCTTTTTAAGCATGRGATTTATAGTACCTGTTTGCCAAACAAATGTTTGCTACTCTTTAAATGTGCTAGGTGAATATTTTAAAAGCATTTCCACTTCCTTTTTTTTTTTTCTTCAGTAAAAAAGGTGTTTTGCCTATCTAGAAATGAAACATTAGATTCTCATGGTTGTATTGTTAAAAGATGGAAATGGAAAGTGGCTTCTCCAACATATCAAGTTGGCTAATCTCAAAGGGAATTGAAGATATCTTACTTCTAAGCCTACATTTTAATCATTTCTATGTTACCTCTGCTCATTGTTCAGATAATAAATTTAATTTTGAATATGCACTTGAAAATGTATGTTTTTTTCAAAATGTATGTTTTGTTTCTCTTATTTTCTGTTGCTTCCATCCATTCTACTATACTGAGATTATTTGCTTAATACTTCCAGTTAGGACTTGTTAATATGACCTTRTAAACTGGTCTCCTGTACTGTAGAAACAACCATAAGTCAGGATAGATAAATAATAATTTATCTACAACAGATTTTTTTTTTTTTTTTAAGATTTTTTTTAATGTAGGCAGGGCCACATTTGCCTATATGGCACTGACTTCTTGTTAAATGAACAGTAACACATGTTCCCTTCAGTGTATGTAGAGAAAGTTTTCCTGCTTTATATATATCATCTGCAGTCCTAGAGGGACATTGTGCAAGTTCACATGATACTTCTTTTACTTAGTTTTGAAAGTACATTTCTATTGAATTCTCAAACAAATTTCTGAGCAAGCAATTATCTGTTTCTGTTACTTTTTTGTTTGTTTGTTTTGGTATTCCTGTTAGTTAATTATGATGTTTTGTGACCAAATAAATATTTGAGTTTTCGTTTCTGAGCTATAGGTTTTTCATATTTTTTTAGGAGGAAAAATCTGAAACCTTGAACACTAATTAAAGCAGAACATTAAATTGCTAAAGTACAATTAAAGTAACTGGAATGTATAAAAACTAGAATATTTTACTATCATTATTTATCATTCCCTATGCTGTCATATAATTAAATATTCTTTTAAAAGTGTAGTTAATATTTTAGCCTTTCAAAGTAAGATTAATATTTATCTTTAAGGAAAAATTTATTTTTCCTGGGGAGTATTTAATGTTTTATTACTTGAAACACTAATTAAGGAATGTTTGTTTTAAGTTTTTGATGATGAAGAAGAGAGCAAGTTGTCGTACACAGAAATTTATCAGGAGTACCAAGCTTTGGTGAGTATTAATCACTCATTTCGATAAGAATATAATAAATATAATTAAAAATGTTAAAGTAGTATTTWTTTAGATGAACTTCTAATTTTCCATCTGTTATCTATAATTTTCGACCATTGTCGGTCAAAAAATTTATTTAGAGACCTTTTGAGTCATAGTCGCTATATGATTTTTCTTTTATGCTTAGATACCAGAGATATAGAAAAGAACCTTTAACATAGTCATATTTCTTAAGCACTGTTATGTATTTTTCATTTATATCTTTTTCTGAATCGTTTAGCTAAAGTACTATGTTTGGTATTTTCTGTCAAATTAAAAATAACCAGCAACTTTATGACTGAAAGTAAACACACAAACCTTATATTTTGTTCATAACTGGCTCTGATAAATATTTGAGATAACTTTTAAGTATTAGAACAAAAGGTACAGATTATTTTGGGGTCATTCTTAGAATACTTATAAGTCGCTTAGCTTCAGTGCACACAGAATTCTAGAACACTTTTTAGCAATAAGACATGATAATAGTTCAATAAAAACAAACAAAAAACCCCAGATCAACATCAATGTTGTCCTCTGTACCTGTTACCCTTCAGGGTCAGACTGAAATTATGGGGGGGAAGGAAAATAACATGACATTCTAGCCAGGACACCAGGGAAAAGGCATAGAGGTGAGATTCTTGGACATTGGAGAAGCTGAATTGAGAAGTAACCAAATTCAGCAACATAAATCAATGTTAATCTTAACAGTTAATGAAAGTAAATTACGCCTGAAATATCAGAAGATTAATTACAGTCTGCAAGTGATTTTTTTGTGAGTTTGAAAAGAAAAGAGCAGTAGAAAAGAATACACAGTTATGAAAAAATTTCATATGATTCCAAGGAAAAACCTCTTGGGAAGTAAGGGTTGAAACTTTGTTACAGGTTGAAAAATTACTAGAAGGTTATCTTAAAGAAGTTGGAATCAATGAAGAGAAATTTCAAGAAGCTTTTTCATCTCCTCTTGCAAAGACACACACTTCACAGGTATGTGGGGTTTTTTGTTGTTGTTGTTAATACAGCAAGGCAGAGAGAAATGTTTGAAATATTTAGAAACTTGAGAATAGATTTTAGAATCCATTAGAAATATTTTAGAAATGATAAGTTCTAATTTACGTTTCTAAAACCTGAATTATTTGTTCCTATAATGAAATATGACCAGCAACACTGTACCTTTAAGTTCATGACAGACATTTGTTGGGTGTCAGAAACTTTTTATCGGAGTTTTGTTTTCTGTGTTCTCTTTTTTTGTTTTTGTTTTCCTGAAACAAACCCCCAAATTTAGGGTGTGTCAGTCACCTTTAGCTGCAGATGTGTCAACTTTTCCTTTCTTCTACCCATTTATGATAGGAGACAAACTTAAAGGTTGAAGCGGTAGATATATTCGGTAGAGGCAAAAGATGATATTTTTCTCCAGTTTTGTAATAAAATGGTAAGATCTGCAAAACAAAAACTGGCGTTGAGAAGACAAGACAGGATTCTAGGTTTCATGTCTCAGGTTTACTGGGGAGAGGAGAGGTGCTTCTACTGCCAAAATCGTGCTCTGTTTACATACCTTCTCCTAAACGTATAACAAGATTCTTCACTGTGTATTCCTCAGTCAAACTTGCAGTTTTGGTTTAGTCAGTCAAAAGAATTGTGGTGGTAAAACAGGCTTTGTGATTTTGTGGTTTTGGTTTTGTGATAATAATATTGTATCCGTGATGAGTCAAGAACCTGGCAAGAAAAGAACTCAATATTTGTTTTGTTAGCTTAACTTATACAACTTATATATGATTTAGTTATCTAGGTTATACAATATATAACATATATCTATATATAAGCAATGTATAACTTATATAACTAAAAATTAGACAAATAGGAGAATTAAATCTTTACTGTGAACTTCAATGGAGTTTAAATATTAATATAATTTCAAGCAAACTGAAATTATTGTGATTTCTGTAAGATATTTAATGAATTTGTGGTTATTCTCCCTGCTGCAGGCCATTTTGCAAACAGTGTTGGCAGCAGAAGATTTCAGATTATTTAAAGAAATGATGGTACAGAAAAATATTGAAATGCAATTGCAAGCTATTAGAATCATTAAAGAAAGAAATGGTAAGAAATGATAAATGTGCCGTTTAACTTCATCTCTTTATTTATTTTAATGAGTACATGATCCATCGATAAATAATAAGTATTGATTCCTATTCCGGTACCAGTTGAAATAATAAAAAACATTCAGTTGATTTTAGTGGGACCAGAATCTCAGTACTTTGTCCCTGAGTTTTATTCTCGGCCACTGCTGTCTGTATTCCTCTGATAAATAGAAAAACACCCTTCTGGAAACAGCTGTGGAGAGGAAGAATTAGATGGAACTGTTCTGTCTTTCCTCTGGGTGAAGAATGATATCGGTTGGAATGCAAAATAAGTTTTTTTATAGAATAATGCATAAATTTTGTCCTGATTTTTTGAAAGGTGTGTTGCCTGACTGTTTGACGGATGGTTCTGATGTATTCAGTGAAATTGAACAAGAAGAAATGAAAATCCTCAGGGAAGTCCTAAGGTAAAGATGAATCAGGTCTACCTCATACACTTTTTTTAATAGAGAAAAGTATATAGAGGTTCTATAGAAAAAGCTTTTTTTAGGCAATTTTCCTCATCTTCGGAATGCCATGAATGTTCTTGAGAGAAAATCAATAGTACTAGAGAATGGGTATGTGAGTGTGGGATCAGGAACAGTAAAAGACATACGGATAATGACTCCATCAAGCAGAACTCTCTTTGTGACACACACACACACACACACACACACACACACACACACACACATACATACATAATGGTGTGTCATTTTTCCAAGCCCTGCCATGCCCCTTCTCCCCAAGTTAAACCGAAGTTAAACCGAAAATTAGGCCTAGGTTGTAAACCTATGGGGACTCTCGACAATAGGGAGATGTTGGCTGTAATCCCTGCTGCTGGGGACACCCTAAACACAGGGCTGAAGAGATAGGATCAAGGCTGTATGTCTGCTTAAAGCAGCTTTATTATTCCTTAGCACCACTAGAGTACTGTGCCCTGCCCYGTGTCCCTTAAAGCCTCGAAAAGGCAAATTCTGCATTTGCACTAGGCTCTATTCTTTCCCACAGCTTCTTTCTAGCTGTGTACAATGGCTCTTGCTAAAACGTGAGGAGGGTGCGAGGGCTGCACAGAAAGATTCTCTTCCAGTTCACATGGACATTAACAATCATTAAAAAGTATTGATCAATTTGCTATTATTTTTTAAAATTATTCTATTTTCCTTCTTTGTTCTGCAAACACTTTCCTTCTAGTCTTTAAAGCAGCAAACAAAACAAGATAGATACTCTAGAAACTCTTATACAGTTATTTTAGCACAGGGAAAATTAGTACACAGTTTYCAGTGTGTATGTTTATCATAGTTCCTTATTTCTATTCAGATTGTATTTTCATTTAAGTCATGAAAGTATTTTGGGCACTTCGAGAATTTTACATTATATTTACATTATATTGAGATCATCTTGATAGGCCTCGAACATTTAAGCTGTGCTAAATTCATATTTACTGATACTAAAGTTAATCTGTATTTTGGGTTACAGGAAGTCTAAGGAAGAATATGAATTAGARCAAGAAAGGAAAAGGACCAAAGAGGTCAGTAGGTTATTTAGCCAGTTGAATTATGCTGATTATTAAGAAATACTTTGATACTTTGATCTCATGTGTCACCTATATCACTTTAAGGCAATATGTAACATTCTATGTGTACTATCCAAAACAAATAAAGGATCTGTCAGGAAGATCCTGCTGACTTTTCTTTTTGAAAAGTCTGCTCCATTGCTAAAATTTTTCTTCATGGTGCTACTGACATTAATGTTGTACCTTGAGCTGTTTGGTGGAGCTCATACAGGAAGCATGTTCCCTCTTCGGTATTAGAATGCTAAAATCCTGGCAAGGGATGTCAACCTTTCAGATCCAGAGAACATCTGAATTAGCAATTTTGTCAGATCAAAGRGACTTCAAAGTATAAGCTTCTTAGAGATGATAGCATTCATAATCCTTCAGGAATTTTAAGGTTCACTTCACAGTTTAGTTATTCATTATTTCTGCACAATGCTGCAAGAATCTAATCGCCAGGAACTAGAAATCCTCTCTGAATTAGAATGTCTCTTGGTCTCTAGTAAACTCTGTAGAAAAGGAACTGACTGTAAAAGTGGACTGACTAAATTGCCAGTGGCAATTTAGTGGCAACAACTAAGAAACAAATCTGTTGAGCGAGGCCACTTCCAGGATATATATATATCCAATATATCYAATGGATATCCAGTAGAAATGTGGCCATAAAGCTCTTCTTCACCAGGAAAACACACAAAAATAGCTGAGATATAGGTTGTTTTGGAAGAGGGAGTACAGTTGCTTTTCTACTTCATTTTTTTTTCTCATTAAGAAATGGAGCCTGGTACATTTGAAGGAGAAAGCACTCCCTGTTTCTTCAGTCTGAACAGACAGAGAGAACTGCCCGGATACCAAACCTAACTATCACAGAGGCAGCTAATGTATTTCAAATCCTGCTCCTGAATTCAAAGCCATAATAAGTGCAGAAGATTGCTGTACTGTTGAGTTCAAGTCCAACAAATCAGGACATTCCTCCAAATTGAATGTCTCACTCTGTATCCTGTAGAAGAAGGATGCTGTAGAAATCAGTGACAATATCCTTTGTCTCCCATGTTAAAATAATACGTTCGAGGAAATGAGTCGCCTGCTCTACAGGATTTCTAACAAATAATCTGGAACTTAATAATTGCCACATTTTAAGAACTGACATTATATCTAGATGCAGACTCATCCAAATCTGTATAGAGCAGCCAGGAATATCAATATTCTAGCATTTCTGTTCAAAACACACCAGAGTAAAGTAGCACCAATGAATACCTTCAATGGCCCCCTATATTTTAACCGTTTATTTTACTACGTCCTATACAAACACTGTTGAGCTACTTAAGAACATTAATGAGCCACTTAAGAACTTAAAACCTTAATTGACAAAGCAGATTAGAAAAAATGTGTGTGTGTGTGTGTGTGTGTGTGTGTGTGTGTCCTTATACGTACGTATGTGGCTGAGTAGTTACTTTTGTTTACTGTTTTTTCTCTGCTCATTTGTTTCAGTCTAGCTGCTGGATTTGGTTTCTCCTTGGCCTAAAATATGTGCACAGTGCTGTAATGCTTCCATTTATCTTTCARGGCTAACAACATTTGATTTTGGCTAGTACTGCTTTATAAGACAAGCTTTCCAGTAATGTGGGAAGCAGGATAATGCATCCTTCATTATCAGAAAACATGAGTCTCACTGCATATTTCATAGAGACAAAGCTCACCTTTGYGCTTATATTTTACTTGATCAAAGGTGGAGTTCTTAATTTTTCTTTTTGTTTAAAGAAAACTGTAGTAAATAGCACATGGAAAGCGATATTTAAATTTACTTTAGCAGGACTGACCCCTGCAGGACATCACATGAAAAGCATGACACACAAACACTCGAAAGTTGTATTTGTAGCAACTGAAACAAAACAGCAGTTTACTTAATGTTCTAAATTCTGGCAGTTGATTAGAGGTTTTGAACCAAAAGGTGCTAATTTATGACTATAAACCAATATGAACATCCCTATTAATAAAACAAAATAAGGGTTTTTGTTTGCTGTAATAATACAGCAGAGAGTTTAAACAACCCAGTTTTAACTAAAAGTTCTTTTGATGGTTTTCTGGGGATTGACAGTTTAATGCCTGCTGTGTGGTGCTAGGAAGTGTAATACTTGCTTCTATTTGTTTTTTATTTTAAGGCACATGATAAATTTAAACCAGATGTTACAAACAGTTTTCCAGGAGATACCAGAGAAGCTGTAAAAGTTAAAGAGTCCACTGAGGGAGCTGTTGCTTTTGAAGGAACTCTACAGTTTTCATTAGGTAATTTTCTCAAAGTGTTTTGCACTCGTTAACATGCAATGTGATATTATTTTCAAGTCACCAAAGAATCAATTCCATACCAGGATTTCCAAAACTGGCCTCTGAGTAACCTTTGGATATAGCTTGGACATAGTATCCAAAGGTGCCTGCACTAGATGGCCTTGGAAATCCCATCTAATTTGAGTATTTTTATGATTCAGTAGCATTTATAAACCATCTCAAACTGTAGGAGGAAAAATGGGAGTCTAATAGCAGTTTTCATCTTTCATTTTAGGTGCATATGCCATTGTTATTGCAAAGAACAATATTTTCCCGGGTAGTAAATATTTAATAAGTTATGATTTTTGTACTTGTGTGGCCATCATAGGTTTAACTGATACTTGTAGAACATTTTTCAATAGTAATAAAATATTTTTGAGAGAACCAGCCATAAACTTTTAAGATTCACTCATGCCTAATGGTCAAACTGCCAAACTGCATCTTCTTGCTTAGTTTCTTGTTGGATTTGTTGCCTGTTAATTTTTAATTTTTGCATTTTTGTTTTTGAATAGTATTGCACGCTTAACCACATAGTGTATTAGCAAGTGGAACTTCCTTAACTTTTACTTTATCCAAGTTTTGCAGTGAAAATTCTCTGAATTATTTTGTAGATGACTTTAGTAAAGGTAATGACCAAGTCAATGCTTTGGCAGTGAGGAAAAATGCACTAGCTGGGAAGGAGGAGCTCTTTGTTGGTATATTTGTGTTCCAGTTAAACACAAAGGCAGATTTTTCCAATAAACCAGGGAACTTCTTAGATAATATGAARCATATAATTTGTGTGTGTGTGTCTGTGTATATATGCACACAGACATACATACATGTGTGTATGTGTATATATGGATAAGTATAAATACARTCATCAGAAAATGCTGTATCACTGGCATACGTTCTTTTCTATGAGCTCATAAAAAACTACTGAGATAATTTGCAATAATATAACTCAAATCATGGAAAATAACAGTCTGTACTTTTCTCAGTTTATTTTCCTGATTCTGCTACTTGTCTTTGTTTGCATTCACACTGAAAACTTCCATATCACAAAGCCTCGAGCTGGATACTTTTCGCCTTAGCTGTACCTGTGTCCATGTACCTGTACATGCAACACACTTGCTCCCATTCGATGGCCATCAATGGGTGAAGTGTTTTCGGACCCTCTGTTTCTTTAAACTGAGTTACTGTCTTTTAAGAAAAAAAAAMCAATACCACCACCACCACCAMCAMAAACTGCCACTGACCTTTTGAGYGTCTTTCTTTTCTCCTGAAGTTGTTACTTTTCTTTGAATTCTTCTTCTCTCCTTCACCCTCAGAAGTATGCAGAGGGCCTCTTAGCTTCAGCTGCAGTTCTACGTGTATTCTTTCCTTCTTCTCCCACCCAGCCGGATTGTGTTTCTCTGAGTTYTGTGCACTCAGCCACCATCCGTCCATCCTGTAGTGGTGTTTTTTCTGTTTGAGAAGGCAGGTGTTCCTAGCAAGTATTCTGTGTGCAGGCCTCCACCCTCTGCTCGAGAGGCAGGAAATCTAGGAGCTTGGGAGACAAGACTTGAAGGCACCGAGTGCAGCCCCGCTCTGTGCCGAGTGCCCACTCAGGCTGGCGCTGGGGGTTCTTGATGTTCTCCAGGTGCCAAAGAAGAGATGGGGCTACAGCAGCCGGGCACCTTGGCAGTTCTCTTCAGTAGTGCGGGACTGACATCATACCTGTCCAAAGAGGTTTCTAAAAGTTTGTCAGAGCTCACTGTCTGTTACCAGCCTTGAGAAAGGTGGTTTGGATGGAGAAGACGAAAATCAAGAAGACTCTATCCTGGAAGTGTTCTCATTGCAGACTCTCTTCTCATCCAAAACTGAAGAACCTSCTCCAGAAGGGTCTGTTAGTACCTCCTTCATGGGCTCCCAACAAAAACTACATGTCTGATGGTGGGATCATCCCCTGTGCTTGAATTGCTTCCTCGGGTGCCACATTCAGTGCTGGGAGAGGACTCAGCAAGAACTGCCTGCTGCGAGTGGGAGCCCTCCCACGGCAGCGCAGGACCGGCCTTCAGCTCCCGCCGTGGGGCATCCTGCCCCGCACTGCGCCCCACAGGCGCTGCTGAGCGCGGGAGCAGCCAGACCCACAAGTCTCATAGCGACTTCGCTCATAGAGAGTGGAAGAAAAACCACCTCTGGCCCGAGCATTCTCTCCCGGGCTACACTTTTTCTTTTTTCTTTCAACTACCCACCCAACTCAGAAACGTTTTTGCCTGTTCCCTTTCACCTTGAAAGCTGAGATTGCAGCTTGTGGATCCCTTGAAGTTTTCCACCATGATGATTTTTAATCTACTGACAGTTAATTTTGTATTGGTGAGCCCCTTAGGAATAGCCTAGGGATTGCAAAACCAGTTTCACAGGAGACACTGCCCCCCCACCTCTGCAGCGGTCCCGGCGAACCCTACCCCTGCTTGCATCAAGTGGTGTTTTTCACACGGGTAAAAGGAAGATGCTGCAGTGGTCCTGGTCCTGTATTTTGAGAAGATTCTGAATGAAGCGCCCTCGTGGAAAAGGAGGGAGCTTAGAGTCATCCACAGTGTGAATGTACATATAGACAAGTTCTCAAAGGAGAGAGAAAAAGGTTACATGCRAGTAACTATATTTCTTTGAGATGTATTGTCTGTTTGTACATTCACGATCCGCCTTCCTTCCCTTCTCTTCTCAGTATCTTTTCAGGTTCGTGGGTTAAGTGAAACTGAGGGTCCTATGATCATATCCTACAGGTACTGCTAAGACAAAAACACCTCCAGCTTGAGTGTTTGCTCTATGGACAGCCCCAGTGTAAATGCACATACACACAACACATTGCAGAGAGCTGCTCTCTGGTAAGTAACTATCCTTAAACATAGCGTTGACTGGGCGGCAGGTATTTGGCAGGCAGTGCAGGTTCATACTTTGCTTTTTAATAGGATGGACTTGGTGTCAGGATATTTTTTTCTAGTGCAGTAACTCTGTCCTCTCCTAATACCCCTGAGGACTTCTGGCTGYCATATAAAAAGTCATTGTTGTCATTTAAGAACCATCAAAACTTTCAACAGTCATACTTCAKGGACATTGGAATTGTTCAGCTTGGCCTCTGTTTCACTTTTTTGTCTTGGTTGGTTTTCTGTACTTTGAATAGCATTTCTCTGTCTTTGCTCTTCTACCTTTTCATTATTTTATTTATATAGATATATCTATATTATATAGGTATAGAGTATATTTTACATAAATATACTGGTATATTTATGTAAATGTATAAACTTGTATATGTATATCAGTATATTAAAATATACAATATATATATAAAAAAATCTTTCTGAATTGGAAAAAAAACCACAGTATCACAACTTAAACAACGGAGTGGTGTTTATCCTGCACAGGGTACAGTGGGGCCAGCCTTTGCCATCGATGATGGGGTAGAGTTCAGGGAAAAGACTTTTACATTCACACAAGCTATTTCTCAAGGTAACGTTATAGCAGGACTCTGGAGTCCAACACTCCAGAATTACAGTTAGCTACACCCTATGACATGCATCAGCTCAGCTATTAGTACTGAAACTGCATTCAGTAAAATGCAGGTTGTACTGTCTGTACTCTTGTATCACTAGCAGTATTTTCAGGGTCTCCAGACAGTCCAAAGCTGCTTCCTTTTYAACAGAAGTGCAGCGGGAGCCGCAGCTTGTCCTGCCCGGGCACGGTTCTTGGCCAGGACAAGAGAAGCTGTAGCCAAGTTCTGGACCCGGGCCCTGCTGCACAACCCCGGGCTGGGAAAGAGTTTTACTCCAYAGCTGTGATGCTATCAGTGGAGCCCAGTGAGATCCAAGGCAAAACTACCTTTGGTCCCTGCAGAGAGGCTAAACCACAGTTGTCATCCCTGCGTGCTTCCGTGGAATGCTTTTTGTCACCAAGGCGGTTGCATTTGTCCAGGAAGCAGCCCCGGGGGAGCAGGGCCTGGTGCAGAGCGCGGCAGCGCAGGCGGAGGCAGCGGCGAGCAGGGGACGGGCGCCAGCCCCACAGAGCCCCACAGAGCCCCGCTGCRGCCCGGCGCCTCCTCCCGGCCTCCCTTCCCTTCCTCCCAGCCTCCCTTCCCTTCTCTTCCGCCTGGCCAGGGCACGCGGCAACACGGCCCCRGCTGAGCCCTGTCGCTGCCAGCCGGAGCTGCCACGGCCCCAGCCTCTGCTCCCCGCCGGCCCTGGGATTTAGGATGGAAACTGAAAAAYCAATCTGGATATAAGCTGCTCTACTAAAATACTGGCTTTGAGGTTACATTCTGATTACAGGTTTTTATAGGTACGTGTCAAACACTGGTTAATTGCATTTTTGGTGCAATGAYAAGTTTTTTAGCAATGTTTTTAGAAGTTTTTAGTAGTCAATAAAGATGGGAGAAATATGATTTTTAAAGTATTCTATTTTCAAACCAGAAACAACTAGCTATTGAAAGAAATTTTAAAAAGAGAAACCAATGAAAAAGAGTAAACTTACTGTGTTTTATGTGAAATGACTTCGTAGAGGAATCACAGAGACCTGCAAGGAGAGAATTAAAACCAGTGCAGCCGTTACCAAAAGGAACAGAGAGCGCGTCTCAACCTTCCTGTACCAAAGTGAAAGACGACCCCAAGAAAAGGGCAGCTGGAAAACATTCTGAAAACGCAGCACAAGATGCAGGGATGAAAGGACCTGTAAGTCTGAAAGAACCAAACAGACCCACAGCGCACTGTGTATACACAGTATCACACATACAATATATTTCCTATTATTGTGCTCTTGTGCATTTCCTATTATTGAACCAAATTATCAACATGAAAAGAGTTTAAAGGTATTCCACAACTTAATCTACATGAGGTTCGGAGACATCATTCCATTTAAGAATAGTATTCAGTTTTTGCCCTTGTGAAAATTTCTGAATAGACAACTATGGCTTAAACATGGATTTTTTTTTCCAGATAGTAATTTTAGAGGTTAAGTGCTTTAAGTATTTTTATCTCAAATACACACATAGGTAATAATAACACATAATTTCAAAATTAACTCTTGGTATTATAAAAAAAATTCCAGAATTTATCGGAACTCGAAGAACAGCAGCTGAGGCAACGAGAGGACTACTTAAAGAAGAAGAGAGATATGCTGATGGCTACGAAGAAGGAGTCGAGAACAAATGTACTGTTACCAGCAACTACTGACCGGAAAGAGGAGGAATCATCCCCGAAAGAGGTGAAAGATTCAAAAGTTTTAATCCTCCTGACTGCTCTGTAAGAGGCACATAGCAGCTTCAGTGAAGATTTACGTGTTTCTGCTGAGTATTTTATCAGGAGAAAAGCAACAAGGGGACTGTGTTGTTCCTTATGTAACACACGATCTTAGATAATGGTTGAAGTTAACACTGAACATACGGGCAGCCCTTTCCTTCTCTTCTGCCCCTCTGGGTGCCTTCCAGCGCCTTTCGCAGCCGTGGGGTAGCCGGGAGCTCTGGAGCTCCGTCCTGCGGCGCTGCCTCGTGGGGACTGTAGCAGACCGGAGCGAGGGGCAGGGAAGTCAAGGGCAGTCACTCGGCTGCTCCTCCTCCCAGTGGAAATTTCCCATCAGCTACTGGCTTTGGCTCATACCTGCTTAATTAGTAGTCAGCACTAAAAGCAGGATATGCACCAAAAAGCCATGCAGTTTACTAGTGTATCTTTTTTACCCTTTTGTTTGTAGACAATGTCAGAAGAGAAACAAAGACTACTACAGAAGAGGAAGATGCTGGCAGAAAAACTGAAAGAAGARGTTATTAACAAGCGGTGAATTTAAGAAGGTCGCTAACTGCAGAATGTAACAACATGAGTAGTTTCTAGAATAAATTATCTAACAATAAGCGGATGGATTTGCTTTCAGATATAATCACACTTAATTTTTTAGAGCTTTCACATAAATAATTATTCTCTTTGAATATTTSGAATTACATTGAAATACACTTAAAGCACACATACTTCCCAGAATGCTGTGGACTTGCAGACTTCTGCTGGAATGTGCTCGGAAGGGAGGCCATAGAACATCACCTCAGCACGCCAGTTCTGTCAACTGCTGACCTCAGCCGTACCATAAGTAGAACAAAAATCATATACTGATTAATTACCATTAAAAATAATTATTAAAATCATACCTAGGAATGTAAATGATTTTGAATGATGCTTCCAAAATATAGAAATTGGTTCTTTTTATTAGAATGTCATTATAAGCAAATTACTATTTTCTGCTGTGAAATGCAATAAAGTAATTTCACAAGAAAGTGAAGCAGCAACCGTCTTTCTGGGAAACAATAAATGCAGCTTGAAGGCACGAGACAAAACTTKTACACAGTAACTCCCTATTACACTATTTTAGGTGCGTTTGGGGCAGCTTACCAGTGCCTTAGGCCTAACTTGTTATGAATGCAACTTTTGAATCAAACAATTGCTTCACTTGCAGAGGAAAAACTATAAACATCAAAACACCAATATAAAAGTTCCAAAGTCAGTCCTAAAAATAAATAAATCTAATTTACCAGGGCTCAGCTCAGCCATAAAAAGCAGAGCACAACCTTGTTACGTATGTGATTGTAACAAGAACATAAAATAAACAACCCAACCARTTGAACTTTGTATTAACTTTATATGAAAACAGCCTTTAGACCTGACACACGTTGGCAGATACTCCGTTCTTTTCTGCACAGCCGGTAGCGAAGGAGGCGGCCGTGGACACCCAGGCTGCCCCCGGCAGGGCCCCGACCGGCCCAGGTGGGAACAGCCGCTCGGCTGCCCGAGGGAGGCCACAAGCCCCTGCATTAGCCAGTTAGAGAGCTGCACATGCCACCTGCTACACGATTATATATATATATATATAAAATGTATAACAAGTTCAGGCTGACATCTAATGCCACTTTATGCAATCCTTTTCCAATAACTATTAAGAAAAAAAAGACATTCTTGTTTTTTAAAACACAGTTGGGGATCATGGGGGGCAGAGGAAGCAACTCGTTCACTTCTGTCAGAGACTCTCAGGGACCTTATTTCGGGTAGCTCTAGAGGGAAAACGGAGAACCAAGGTGCACAGACCAGGTAACATGACTTTGCAGCCTCGGGTTAGTAAAGGCACCTACTGCTCCACTCTCAGGTGGCACAGAGAGCACTGCAGGAAGTTCCTCTTTACCAAGGGAGAGAAAACTCAGGAGAAAACGGCCCAGAACAGAAACCAGACGCTCACCTGCAAGGGAGCACCAGGCGCCCACACCACACTAGGCTTCACCAGCAACATGCCTCCTCGGTCTCTGCACTAGGAGTTCATGGGATGTTTCATCACACACAAAATAAGAAGCCYCATTCCCAGTTGCCTGCAGCCCACAACGGGCAACATGACTTTTCCTGGGTCTTCTCCCACAAGCCGYCATCCCTTGGGATGCCAGGCTAGCTGGGAGCAGCTCCCCCACTCTGCTGGGCTTTGCATCTAATGGGGTATAACTGCTTTAAAACTGYACAGATAACATATATAAAGAATATTCTAAATAATATAAAGAATATTCTAAAACGGCCACACTCAAAATTATGCGTTAACTTACCCTGTACAACAAACCAAACAAGCGCAACAATTATGGAATTACAGGGTCACATTTTAATTCCTGAATTTTACAGTTCAGCATTAATATCACCACATGTATACAAATGGTGTAAAACAAGTACAGTGGTATTTTTAATACAAAATAAACTTCTGTTTTATGGAAAAACTATACTTCATATCTACACAGACAGCCCATCTTTTTCCAAACAATAGCTAAAATTAAAATTAACTACAAAATCTCCAAAACAGAGAAACTGCTTCAGTTTAAACTATTCCAGGAGAAATGGACCCATAACACATATTACAAGAGAGTGATCTATGTGGTGGATTGCAGCTGGTTTCATATTTTGACATTTCTGACACATTAATTGTTGGGAAATTTCCTCTCACTTCATGATCTCAGATCACATATGGGCAAACTAACATTAAAATATTTACAGTTCACTCGCTGCTCTTGCAAATAAAACCTAGACTGTTTGCCTCTATCACCTCACCTCTTTTTGTTGCCAGTTGCTTACCTACATGGAATGTGCTTTTATTTTTTTAAAAAAAGCAGCTTTCATGTTACACCCAGATTCAGGTACTGCTTGGTGATTCTGCCTCAAAGACCAGYGTCTTGTTAGTAGTAATTCCATCTTGGTCCAAAATGACTTTGGTGTTAAACGCCACTAAATTCATCCCTAAGAAAAACCTGTTAGTGTTTCTTGTTACCACCTCAGTTGTACAATTTCAACTTGCAAATATGAAAATTCACTTGCTGCTCAGCGGGGAGGCAGCTCAGCGTAACAAAGCGGGAAATGAGTCAATTCTGCATCRCCCCTAAAACGAATGGGACAGCTGCACGGGGTGCAGGTCGAAGCACGAGTTGGATACAAGCAGTTCCTAGAGGTATTTTGGAAGCCATCGTTCCTTGGCATAGRTATTACTGGATGTCTAACTGAAAAAAACAGGCAGAGCTGTCCGGTTTGAATCCAGCCTCCTCTCTCTCCTCTTGAAAAATACAAATTAAAAGTCATTTTAATTGCTTTAAACAATGCAACATGCACTGTAACTGCAGCATTCCTCCCTGCAACCATGAGAAACGTGGTTTAATTTGTAAGAATGGTCCCCAAATCTGGATTGTTCTTATGCAAATACAATTAGTTTTCCCTTAAAAATTCTTTTAAAAGAGGCATTGCTAAAAGAACACAACTGACAGCACCATTACAAAATTAAGATTACTGGGTTCAAAATTTAAGCTTGACATTTTTTCCTAGTTCTGTTAAACACTGGGGAAACCCTGCAATATTTAAAAAATTGTTAACCACACCTCGCCCTCCCTATGCCCTCCCAACACCTGAGACTTTCCTTGCTGAGAAGCCATCATCCAGGTTCTGAATACTATTTCCCCCCCCCCTTTTTTTTTAATTTTTAAAATTTATTTTGACAGCCTGAATGGCAGACTCCTTATTTACTAGAAAGATACCAAGTTCCTTGGAAGCCTTGTGTTTACAGAACTAACCCTTTCTAGTTGATATACCGAGTTTCTTTTGCTACTCCTTGTATTATCTTAAATACTCGTGGGAAAAAGCTTTCTGAATCAGGTTCTTTTTAGCTCTTGACAGTTGCAGCATTTGAAACCCCGTAATAAAAGTTTATTCCAAAGTTYTGGTTTCTTTTATGAACCCAGACGAGGTCTTTTCCTTGGAGATGTTTCCTCCTCTTCATCATCATCTTCGTCATCAGGATAATCTACTAGGCCAACCAGACTTCCCTGCCAATTAAAAAGAAAAATCTTGTGTTGAAAAATATCTCAAAATATCCAATTTCGGTACATTACCCAAAACCAACTTGTGCAGGACACGAACCTGCAGAAAGCCAAGCCTGCCTCAGGATGGCACTCAATAAGCCTGCAGCTTTAGCTTTTAGAAATATTCTGCTTCATCTTTTTGTACTCTCCACTATTTTCCAGGTAAGACACGTGTTAGTTGAAGCCATTTCCAGCTATTCAATGACCTTAGCAGAGAACATGGGAGAAGCCCCTGTCCTAACTGGTGGGTTAGCAAACCCAATGCACTCAGTGCTTGTGTGTTCTGCTGAGAAGCCTGAAGTTTGTACGGYAAGTTTAGGCAAAGGTAAAATACTTAGTCGAAACCTCTCAAGAGTTTTGAGGCTACAGACTGAACTGTTGTATAACACAAAAGTTCCAACTAGCGCTCTGCTTAGAAACTTATTACTTTTATGATTACAGGTCCATTAATTAAAAAGAAAAAAAACCAACCCACCCCTCCAGCCCCTGCATGTGCATCACACACAAAATGCAGCAACTGGAGAGCTAAACAAAGCCGAGGGCTGGGAGCAGCTGCAACTACGCAGAAGACACCAGCCTGCGTCCAAGCCAGCTATGAGAGGATCCTAGTCCTACCCAGCACGTCTTCCAAGCTTCCCCAGCACTAGCAAGGGCTTTATCCGAGCAGAGCCGTGTTTGAGTTCATCCATAAGCGAGGTCTCTACCCCGGGCCTCCTGGTGCCCGCGCTACACGGCACGCGGCCGCACGAGCGCCCACCTTGGCGGCCGCCACRGCGGTGGTGAGGGCGGCGTTCTTGGAGGAGGAGCCGTTGGAGCTTGCTGGTGACGTCTGAGCTGCCACAGATTTGCTGTTCGCACTGTTTGCACCGTTAGCTGCGCTGGCAGAGTGGGAAAAAGTGAATTTGAATCCCCCAGCGGAAGTCCTTTTTGGAAGATTCTCTTTGTCTTCACTCTCTTTAGCTAGAGGACAAACATATTCATGCTTAAGTATTAGCTGTACACCAGGAAGCACAACCCACATCACAACATAACCGCCAAAGCAGTTTATTCCTCTTTAGCTCTAAATCAATGGCTCGCCTACGGGGCTCATTCAGGGCCTGCGCGCATGCGAGCGGGAGAGCGCCCCAGCTGCTGCACACACRGGCACGGCGCCCGCTCSCCACGCACGAGGTCGTGGAAGCCTTTCCTTCCTCAGGTCGTTCAGGCTACCAGCACGCCGGGAACAACCTAACCCATCATTTTAATCCTACCCGAGCTGCCAAAGGCACATGAAGAACGTGTTGCCTCCTGCTTATGCGTTGCAGTGGCAACGCGACACAGAGTGAGGTGTCATGCAAAGATCGGACAGATGGCGTGTGCCATGCTGACAAGCTGATATTTGGTAAATACCTTTCTTAGTTTCCATAAATTTTTCATAGCTATCTGGAAAATCATCCTCTGGTTTTGATTTTTCAACAGGAGGTACAACAGCTTCACCTTCTTCCTCTTCATCTTCATTGAACCACATTTCTTCATCTTCCTCTAAGGCTCTTGCATCTCTGCGAAATCTATTGCTACGCAATATAGATGGAACACTGTAAGAGACACACGAGAGGTGACTCGCTCGCCGCGGCCGGCAGCAGGAATGGGAACGCGCGGGCAACGGGAACGCACAGGGAACGGGAACGCGCAGCGCGACAGTCGCCCTCCCACCATGGCCGAGGAGCGACGCTGGGGCCCGACCCGCAGAGCAAGAGTCTTTTCCTCATAAGCTGAAGGGGTTCTGAAGATGAAGGTTTGATATACTGGCAATCATGAAGCCCAAATGGGGGTT